CCATTATTTTGTCTCAAAATCAATAGGATTCATCATTTTATCTATAGAAATTTGTTTCTTTCTGGTTTATTATTAAGTATTGATTCTTATCATGCTGACCTGTTTCACAACCTGTTTTTCTGTGCTGCCCCATCTTTCTTCTGTGTCATTCTGTTGGCTGAAAATAGATCTGTGGAGAAATTTCTGTTCTCTGTTTGAATACTTTCTACCACAACAAGACCTCAATCCTTTAGTGCAGTGGACAGGCACCACAATAAGATAAATAGTAACTAATGATAATCATAATGAATGCCATCACAATTCCAAGATGGCTAGCACTTTATCATGCAACTCCAGGAGCGTAAAGTTTTCCTTGATTCTTCATAAGATCCTATGGTGTGTACAGCTGAGAGGGGACAAAATATCTCAATCCTGATTAAGATCTGAAGTGTTATCACACAATAAATTCAGAATATCTGGGGAAATGTTGAAAAAGTCTCATAGCCTCAGTTATGTAGAATAGTTGCAGTTATACAGTATGGTTAGCAGCCTCAATCTGGTACAGTAATGCCTCACTGCAGCTATGAAATATTTGATCTCTCTTGCAGTTTGAAATAACAAGTCCATATAATCCCAACACTGCCCTATATCCAGTACATTTCTTTGCACTGCTTGTATTTCTAAGCAGCAAATTTTTTCCATGTCCCAAATGCTGTGTTTATTTAAATTATCACAACTGTACACACTAAAAGTGGCTGACGAAAGCCTTCAAAGATTCTGTACACTTTAAAGTGGTATGACTTAGATTGACATGAAGTGGTCTATAAAGTTCATATTCTATATATAATAATAATGTAAACCTTTACAGGTTAGGTCCTGAAAAGTCAGTGTGGCTCTACTTACGTAATTTCAAAACAAGCAAACTGGGGAAAATAATCACTGTAGCTTGTTTCCTGTTGAAGATATCTGTAGATTTATAAACTAAAAGTTAGCCACACATTTAATTCACTGTCTGGCTTTCCCCCATCTGCTTTTTTTTTTTTTCTTTTTGCCTATGGGGAGAGAGGAGTTACATAAGAACAGTAAAAGACTGCTGTGATGCTCTTTGTGTCAGCTGTGCAATGGAAAAGACAAAGTGCAAAAAAATTGAACATGGGTCTGACAATGAATTGCACTTAACCAGACAAACAGTTTTATAGTGGTAATTAGTCAAGACTATTTGATATCCCTAAAAATTCATGAGATATCTCTAGAATAATTTTAGCAAAATACTATTGCCAAGATCTCATTTTCAAATAGGGATAAAAAAATAAGGTTGTGGAAAAAAAGAGGTAAAAAGTTGGAAGAGGGGAAAACTGCTGTATTTTCTTCAACGTCACCCTAATCTCCATTAGTGTAAACGATGAGAAACTTGTGGGTATGACGTCACTGCTACATGCAACATAAATAAAGAAAAGAACCAAAATACTGAACAAAAAAACTCTCTGCTAGAGAAAGACAGGTTGGACCGCACTCTGGGCTACAGGGAACCCATTTTTACTCACAATAGATCACTATCAGTGTGCAGTTAAAATATAGTAGGGGCCGTGTTCCAAGGCAGCAAGAGGAAAAATAAATCAAAAGTTTGTCAATTGTCATAGATTACAAGAAATTCCTTCAAACACATCAATGTATACATGATATGTCCCCTCTGGGGTTCAACCCCCACCGTTCACAGCAAGCACTGTCACTGGAAAAAATATATACAGAATTAGACCATAGCTGTTGCACAAAATGAAAGGAACAGGAGGAGCAGGTCATCCAGTTTAGAGATTTCATCCCAACGTGGCTGCATTTTATATAAATATATACATGTATTTGGCCCCTTGCTGCAAAAACTACAGTTAAATGGAATAGGAAAGAGACTGAAAACATTTAAAAAGTTATCAATAATCTGTGAATAAAATCTCCACACCAGCATTCATATGTTATTCAGGGAGTGGGATGGGTAAGGAGAAAGGGATGGCAAAGAAACTGCAAAAGGAAAGTGAGGTTACTTTAATTATCCCTGGTCTTGTGGAAATGTACTGATCTGCCCTGAATTATTAATATTAGGCCTAACAGGTTTGGACAAATGGCTATGTAGGTCAGACTCATGTTTAGACCCCAACAATATCACAAGCTAATGTTCAGACAGTATCTGAACTGATGTGCAACCTCTGATGCATTATTAAAGCATGTGGTTTTCAGCTATCACAGGAAGCTGCATTGATTAATGCCACCATAATTAAGTTTTCCATGTAAAGATATTCTCTCACATTTAATTCACCTGACTGTTAATATTTTTACATACAACCTTTCATTTCATCTTACACATTTTCTGCATTCCATTGCCTCTAATTGCTATGTTACTCGCTAATTAAAATATATATTTATCTATAGGACTGCAATTACGCATGTGTGACTATTTGCAGTGTCTTTGAAAATCAAATTGATATATTAGCTGTTGACAGATCAGTTGACAGTTTCCTAATTCAACAGGAAAAGACTTTTCTTAATTTATGCTTTGTTTTGGTTAGACTGCATTTTAAAGACCAATGATTTGTGTAGCTTACAGATGGATAACATAGTTAAGATTTTTCAAAAGTGATTAGTGATTTGAAAGCTAAAGCTAAGACATTTTATGTGAATAATAGGCTGCACTAAAGACTTACCTTAAAAAAAAAAAAAATCAGGTCCCATAAAAGGGATTTCAAGATTGTCATCAAAATTTGAGACACCAAAAAATCACTAATTACTATTGAAACTTTTCATATAAATTTTTTGCTGATTGACAGAATTTTAAAAGCAAAGCAATTGTACTATTCCTAATAGTTGTGAGTATGCTCCTAAGTGGAAGCTGTTCTCAGCTGTACCAAGAGCTGCCAGCTATCATGGTTTCTGTGACTATATGCGTGCATAAACAGGAAGAGGGTAGATGGGGGGAGAGGGAGAGGAGAGACAATGAGAGGGAAATTTAAGATTTTACTCTCACTGACCATTTGTTTTCTTTTTCACCTAACTCAGAGGATTCCCTCCTTAGCATTCAGTGTTCATTGCAGCAGCTCTGACAGCTGACTCCTTCTTCTGCCTCACTAACTCCGTCATTTTGTCTCTTCATCTGTCGAAGACTCTTTCATTTATTGGACTGATACATGTGACCATGCCATTTGGAATGCTTCCTAGTGCTACACACAGAAGTTGTCACTCTCACCTCTCCACGGTCCTACTGCTGGTAATCTATCCATTGTGTCGCCTGTGTCACAGGATACTGTTTTCTCTCTGAAACTGAGTACTGAGGAGGTTACGTTGATTCTCATTAATGTATAATAAAGCCCTCTTGCCCTTTATACTGTGAATTCCTGATGTCTTCTAACAGATTTCAGTGAGAAGTGTAGATCTCACATTAAAATGACAGATCTTTGGGAATTTTTTTTTTTTTTTTTTTTTTAAATCGGCACATGTGTAAAAAGCATACACTATGTGAAGGAGGAGTAGAGAAGAAAATACAAACACAAAATAGGTCTTTTTTGACAGAATCAAAATTAAACAGGTAATATTTTTCTTTAACTGTTGGGTAATTTGGAAAAAAGATTGGGTTTGAGAGCTACAGGCACCCCGAGGCATCTGTAACTGGCTTTACGAGAACTTACTCAGCAGCCTCATTGGCTTTGGTAGCAGTTCAAAGGTCATAGTCTCATATGGATAAACAGTTCTTGAACAATTTTTTGCCAATATGTTAGGCAACGCATACATTCCTTCCACATCAGGCATGCTTTCCATGTGCTTTGCCCTCCTTGTAGCTACTGGAAGGATAAACATCATTTTCTGTCCATGTTTCAGCTGCTTTCTCTCAATTATACTACTTTGTTCCACACTCTTTTTGTTTTGGGGGAGAGGAGTTTCTTTAAAAATTCCAGTGACATATTTTTTCTTTTTAAAATCATCTTCAAGAGTTCATCAATTTCAGGCACCCCTTAAAGGCACTGAATATCCAGTTTAGGCTTTCTTCCGTCCTCTAAGATAGTGCAGTGATAATACTATGACTGGATCTATAAATAAGAGATTTTTTTCCCTTTTAAAAGTAATAGTAAAACAGACATGACCAAACTCTCCTGAGATCTTTCAATTTACCTAATCAGTACTCTTGAACTGAATGATCTTTTTCATGGCAGAATATCATAGCATGCACATAAATATTCAGATATCCATTGAGAAATGGATCCCTAAATCCTTTTGATACCCATATTACAAATACACATGGGTCAAACACATCTTGTAGTTGTGATAATTCCTGTAAAAAGTACTTTCAAAGTATATATAGATAAAATGCTAATTTCTATATCTTTATAAAAATGTGGATGCAAAGTCTGATCTCAATTCCAACATTTCCCAAATAATTTAAAGAGCACACCTAGGAACTTAACTAAACCAAATATTAGCATTACAGCTATGGAATCTTCTAAAAGGACATATGTAAGAGATGCTAATATTTAACTTCTTCCAGACAATCCCTTCCTCCAGTAAAACTGGTCGTTCAATAATATTTCAATAATAATTTATTTCAGTGGTTATCTGATGGGATATTATTCCCTAGTTTCTTCTTTTACAGAATAATGTTCAGCAAGATAGACAAAAGTTCTTTACTCTTCTGAAAACTATTGAAATTACTGGTTTTCTGAATGGTATGAATGAAAGCAGAACTTCACTGAGCTCACTCTTAACTCAGAAATCTCCACAATTAGATCTAGCTTGATTTAATTCTTCAGGTTTTGTTAGCATTGGACCCTAATGGACTTTTTATGAAGAAACAGGTGTGAGTGGTGTGAAATGTAATAATACATGGACCTCAGAAATGCAAATAGCACTTACTATGTTGCTGTGCATTTATCTATTGGCTTTTCTGTGCCACTGTGTAAAACATGTAAACGCACATACAGATATTCTTCAAGGCTGAACAGTTCATGAAAAGGAAGGAAGAGAGTGATAGAAATATTACTTACGCCGTTTGCAGCCACATTTTTTTATCCTTTTGGGATCCGTGATGTCATCATGACAGGCCTTGCAGTAAAAAAATGCCCTACAGAGACAGAACAGAAAAATTGACACATTTCTTAATCCATATAAATGAAATTAGTCCCACATTTCCTCTTGTTGCAGTGCCAAATTAATGAAACATGCCAGCACTAATTCTCTTTAATCTTTGAAAAGGTTTAGACATTTAAAGTAGGAAATATTTGCTGTAAGACCATTAATTTCAAACATAAGACTCCAAATTACTGTTTCTTTCAATATACTTTTATTTGAAAAGTAATTGGGAGAAAGGAAGATAATTATGACACAGTGTATCAGTTCATTTGTCTTTCATCTTAGAAAAAAGTGCATCCAATGAATGTTGTCATGAAAACATACATATAATGAACTCTCTGTTCTTATCAGATATACCAGATTTTTTTATTTTTTTTTTTTTTTTTAAGGACTGTCTGTCACCCTGGGCCTATTTTTCAGCCTGGTCACAAGTACGACTTCATTTTGGATACACTGAGACATTGCAATGAGATTCATGTGAGAGTAACATCAGATATGCTATTTACAAAAAAAAACCCAAACAATACCAGAAAGGGAAAATCTACTCCAAATAAGTTCCTAAAGGAACATGTAAATGAAAGAACTGAAATAATCTTGATTCAGACTGTTTTTTTGTCCTTCATATCTGAATAAAGCAGAACCATTTTGGTTTTAAACCAACAAAAGCCAAAATTTCAAACAAAAATATTCAATTAACAAAGTGAACCATCTAGATTTCCATTTAATATTTTTGCTTATGAACTTCTACTCTTGTATGAAACGGTTCACCACTAGGTGAACTGCAAGGAGGACTAAGGAAGTGAAAAAGGGTAAACATTTGACTTTATATAAGATTAAAACAAAATTCCAATTTAATAAATATGCATCAGCCTGCCCACAGGAGAGTTTAATCTTGCTTATCAAGTCAACATGTCATGTAAGGCTGCTGTGACACATTTCATGAGTATCACGCAGCTGGCCTCTAGCTGGACAGTCACAGTTTACCAGGATTCTTGCTGGCATAACAAATTAAATATACTTCTAACCTGCTGAAAGTTCCCTCCATATTCAGGATATGTCAGCTCTGTGCCTATATTTCCAACCCTCTCTCACTGCATACTTCTCAATACAAATTGGCAGTAAGAACCACAGCTGCCACCTTGCAACCATCCATGGATTTTGCCGACAGTACTGGATGGTTGGATTGCTACAACAGTAGGGAGATCACGGGAACCGAACAATCTACAGTCCAAATTATGAAAAGAAAAATAAACAATATTAATACACAGTCTCTGAATAAACACAACCTTTGGCAGTTCAGCTAGGATGACTGCTACTAACTCTTTTTAGAACTTAAATCTTTAAGATTTAAATCTTAAATTTATTAATCTTTTTAGATTAATTTGACAGTGTCCACCGCAGGTGGAACTGTATTAAAGGAAATGTTCAGAAACATGAACTAGATACCTAATTCTAATCGTTACAAATGTATCTAAGTTACTTTACACCTCTGAATAATGACCCTGGTAGTGAAGTGGCACATGAGGAGAAAAGTAGCAGGTCTAGCATATGAAAGATGGACCAGAGAATACAAATTTCAATTTGCAGTAAGACCTTACTGAATGTTATTAACATTTCTAAAATCAAGATAGCATGCAAGCTATTGATGGAAAATATAAGTCCTAAATGTTGCAGACTTAATTTCTCTAAGAAACTTCCAGGAAGATTACTTTTTCAGACTGTAAAATTATCTTACTACTTCCAAGAAGCAAAATGTAAAATGAAAGCCTCTCTGAACATTTGTATACTTTGCTGCGGAAAGCTTCTGGTCATCAAAATATTCACCTTCTACCAAAAAGAAAACAAACTTCCTCCAAGGAAATGAGAATAAAATATTTTTCAAACCATGAGTTGATGTCAAGACATAAGCAAGGAGGAGAAAAATGCCTCCAATTTTTACAATTAATCCCCAATCCAGTTGTAAGCCCCTGTATTGAACAAGAATCCACTATCACAAATATTCCCTCACAAAACTTCATGACATGAATTGGACTTGGGCAATTTCTACAGATCATGTTTCTGAAGTCCACTGCAGGAAAAATGTCCTAAAGAGTACCTTCAATCCTATGTGCAAAGTCAAGAGCAAATGCCTGAAGCGATTGCTGCAATAAAGTTATCCTTCTATATGATAGGGTTGAAGCGGATCTGAAGCATGTGGGTTTCTGATGTTAGTACGAACACGTAAATGAATAAAGAATAATAAAGATGCAATTCATATAGTTTGTATTATATTTAAACACTCAACATTTTACATGAAGGTATTTACAAAGGCATAATTTTTTCTAGGTATAACTGTTTCTAATGTGAAACTATTGTTCTAAAAATGCAAAAGTAATTCTAACAAGAAGAGTAATTGAACATTGCATGTTATATTTCATTGTGGCATATACATTTGATAAACATGAACAGCTTTAGCTTAAATGAACTGAAATGTCTCCATTAGCACGTAACACAAAACCAGAATAATTTAATATGATTTTCAGGTATATAACATGTTTAATTTTGCTTTATTAAAGAAAAAATAATCATTTTTTCCCCTCCAAAAGACCACAATTTTAGAATGTTTTTCTAACTCTGATTCATAGCTCAAAAGGGTGAAATCAACACTTTACATAATTGGCTTTGTTAGTTGAAACACATATGATAATAATTTGCTTTGCACAGAACAGCTAAGAAGTGTGGTAAGGCAGGCAGCCTGTTTCTAAACAAAGCTTTCCACAAAATGCAAGGCAGAACTGAGAATTTTGTTTCAGCTTGCTATTCGATAAAACATGCTAGATGAATGATGCGTAAAATTTCTCTAAACACATTAATAACAGTCAACTTCTCCCTGTTAAAAATGCTATGCCGGGTAATTTTTACTTATAATCTGAAATAATTTCATAGGAGAGTGTAAGAGGCCTTATACATGGAAAAAAAAAAAAAAAGCCAGCATCTCCATAAAGGAATGTGAAGACAGTTCTGTATATTCAACTGGAGATAAGCACCAGAGAGGAAAAAAACTGTATGCTGAAAGGCAGCGTACCTGAGGCAGTGCTGGATGCAAATACTCCAAAGATGGTGCTAGAAATATGAGAAGACAGGAGCACTGCTGTGCTGTTCTGTATGCTTCACCTAGCCAAAAACTATCTTAGCCCTTCCAATGAAAACAGAATTCAAGTAATCAGTGATTTCACTGCTTTGATGTGTTGACTTTCTTTAAATATTCATGGTAAACATGCATTGCTTAAATATTTTCACTGTAATTTAATTATAAAATGTTCAGGACTTACTAAAGGTTACTTACAACAAACATACAGATTATGAGGAAGCAGTCAGCTGCAAATATTCCTTTTATTTTTAATGTTACAGATATTGAATAATCATTTCTTAAAAATTATTTTCTCATATTGCTCTTTTATTACTTCCAAGCATATTATAATCCTAACAAACAAGAGTACACACGTTTGGTCCTGAACACAATACCATAAAACCCCTTTTCATTCAACCCAAATCTAATACAGCCAAATGAAGTTGTCTACAATGGTTGTGATATAATGCACTGTTATAGTTTGATTTATTATCATGAGGCCATAGAATATGCAGTTCCAGTCAAGAAAAATGACAAGAACATAAACATTCTTCTGCTAATGCAATTACTGAACAAATACAGTAGCTTGCTCATATCAAATATTTGATAAGGTTTGTGTAAATAAGAACTACCCTAAACCTGAAACTCAGACAAAACTGTAATCCCTGTCCTCTCTCAAAGTAATTCCACTGAGACAAATTAGTTACAGAGAAATCAGATCAAAATATTTTACGTTTTCTAGTAGAACTCAGAAAAAAAAGCCTCTTCATTTATTTTCACATCTGCTGTAAAACTATATCATTTGCTTGATATTTAGGACTGTAGTTAAGAAAATGGCATGCACACATGCTTGGTTCACTAGAGTACCAAGTCGATTTCCCCTGAGAATCTTTAAACAGATAATAATGAAAATTAGGTAAGGAAAAAACAGAAATTAAATACTATATGTTTACATTTAAAGATAAAAATATATTAATTACCTTTTTACTTCTTTGGCATCACTTGCAATGAAGAATCCTAAAGTACCTTCTTGAATCTTGACATGGTTTCCAGGATTGATTAATATACTGCTCAGTGAAACAAGAACAAAAACAACAAAACCGTAAGTTTAAATTACTTTTAACTGAATGTTCCAAAACAGCTTTATTTGGTTCTATTATAGGGGACCCACTAGTTAGGAAAGGCAGCAAGGAAATTTTAAGCCATTCTTCCTTGGAACTTCAAATCAAATAAGAGTTTCACATGCTTTTTACAAAAACTTAAGTTTGAGATAGTTATATGCCTCTGCCTATAATCAACATCATTTAAGTGTTTACCTCTGTTTTCTTATGTTTTTTCTTCAAATATAGACTACACAAAATAACAAAGCCTCTCAGAAACATGATGTGTGAAGCTGAGCATTTCAGCTTTCTTGCTCTGTCATGCAAAGTGGTGAAAAATTCACAGTATGGTGAAAACAGAAGAACCAGCAACCACCACTCAATACAATACAAAATATCATTTATGAAGCTAAATCCTTTGATGTAAATTTTTGCCAATTTCTAGTGAAATAGAACATTAATGGGACCCCTATCTGGACATACAATGTTATTGTTTAAAATAATAAATACACACATACACTCAAGGGGAATGGTACAAGACAACCAGTCACGACAGCTGAAAAAACATAAAATGAATAGAAAAGTTTTAAAACACTGCTATGCAGCCATGGAAGAACAAAAATAACCCAACCACACTGACAAAATAGCCTCAGCTAAATTTGATGAAGGAAATTATAAACCTATCGAGAAGTGAGGCACTACATGTCTCTCTAGGAAACATCTTTTTTATTTTCATAATAATTTAACACTAGATTTTAGGTAAGGCAATTTGCAAAGTACCAAGCCAACTATGAATAGACAGATATAGATGTAAATATATTATCCAATAATTTTTATTAATGTGTAATACAACTAAGCTTTTGACTTGCTAAAATTTAATAAAGCTTGTCAAAAGTTCTCTCTTTTTTGTCTTTTATTAAAGCTTAGCCTTTGTAAGTTAAAATGTAGTAATGGCACACTTACACAATTTACAGTAAATAAAGACTACCAGCAATTTAAATGTTTGTGGATTTAGCAAAAATTGATTTTGGGGAAGTATATATAAATAAAATAAATAAAGTATATTTCTGTACAGTACTGAAATTTGAAGGCCAAAAATCTTTCATGTTATTTTTGAGGGAAAATGAGTCTCAGCAGATCTTTTATTCAAGATGTTATTTATTATCCATACATTAGTAATAAATTAGCGTGACAAAAATATACCTGAAATCTTTATAATGAGCACATTGTTTTGTGCGATTATGCATGCTCACAAGGCCCTATGAAAAGAATATGCAGGCTGCAAAATAAACTGCTCGTGAGTTAAGAATTAAAAGACTGTTCATACAGCCATAATTCATCCCCCATTACGTAGACATTACGATACAATTCTTAATTTAATAGCCACAAACTAATTTTTTCTCCAATCTGAAACTTCATTCAGTGGTGTTTTATTGCCTTTATTCCAGATATAGCTTCATGTAGTTTATCTTTCTTTAAAATCAGCATCATATTTTTCTTATGTGTTTTTCTGTAGTGTTCATCACTACAGCATGCAAAAGATTCACAAATACATTATTTTACAAGAAAAATGAAGACATAGTATTATCCCACTTTACAGATGACAGATTAAGTCACTATGAGATATAGTAGCTATTAATTTGGGATGCCTACAGGCCATTTTTTGTAAGTATTTAGCATCACATAGTTCCATATACACCTTGTAGGGACTTTTGCTGTAAGAATGCTAAGCATTTCGAAAAGCCCAGGCTCTGGTTCCCAAAATAATAGAGACTTAATCAGAGGTCATTTGTAAAAGATTTGGTTTAAATTATTAGCTCCCTCTCACACAGATATTCTGTGGCACAGCCTGGAACAGAAATTAAATCTCAAAGAAAGCATTTACCCAGATATCCTTCCTTTTCCTTCATTCACAGTTTCAAGTTTTGCAACAAAAAGGAGAGGAGAACTACAGAAAATGGAAGTCATCACCACAGAAAGCAGGTTCATCTCCACAACACACTTCAGTAGTATTGCAAAAAATTAAACATGATGGTGTAAATAATGCCTATTTTATGCACACAGATAAATGGGATGAATTAAAGTTGAACAGCTAAACTTCATATCTCATATTTCTTTAGTTAGTGTATTGGGCTTAATGGTTGCACTTGCAACCAAAACATTTACCTAATGTCGTTTAAAAATGCAATTTCACAGGTTTTAAAATGGAATCAAACAGACAGGAAAAAAACCCCAAACAACCCCACAAGAATTTCTTCATATGAAATCAGTCACTCAAGTCACAAACAGGTTGGAAAATTTAGATTCCCTGCACAAATTCTTGTCACTTGAGCCAACAGAGCACTTACTAGCTGTTACAGAGATACCGTAACAGGCCTTCACTAAGGGAGATGAGACATGCACTCTACCAGTACATTCACAGAAAAAAGTTGAGAAAGGCCTATCTTAAGCCTGCAAGCCTATGTGAGCCTACATAAGTTACTTCTCAAAAACTAGGAGAGAATCTTTCTGCCACTAACTCTCCAAAGTAATTTCTGCCAAAACTTTCTATTGTGTCTGTAACTGCATCCATGTTTCAGATTCCACCTTTCCTCTTCCCTGTCTGCTAGTCCTTAATCTGCCATCATGCTGAGAATTCAGCTGCTAAACCAACAAAATATCTTCTACAGATGCTAGTCTCATTTATTTCTACTATACTGTTCCTTCTAAATATGCAAAGACTTGTAATATGGTTAGGGTTGGCTATTTTTCTTAGGTACAAATGGGTACCGCTCTGTCAGAAAAATACTTTTTTGCCCTTATTTTGTTCTTTCCCCTTAGTCATGGAAGTATTACAGCTTTTCAGTGAAAACAGATGAACACATTTCTTTACATAGACCCACCTTTTTTATTTTTTTTCATCATCCCATTCTTGGAGATAGATAAACCATACCCAAACAGTAAAAAATCCTACCAAAATCTCAACAACTCAAACTCCACAAGCTGAGGTAATCACTAGATATGTAAATGTTCACTTCCTCTCACAGAACTTAAATTTTGACAAACCAATAAGCAAATGAAGCAGTTCTTTTAAGAGGTAGTGAACATAATCATAAATCAGAAGTAACTGGCTTCATTTAGGATGTAATATATCATGAACGTGATTTTGTATCTCAAGGTTTTCTGAGACACAAGAAATCAATTCAGATGGGTCAATGTATAGACTTTATTTTTGTCAGTTCTTATACTTCATTCACATATACTTATTTTCACAAATACAATATATTTATAGCCATAAAATATATAGATGTGATCGCAATTAATGCAGTATGATCCTAGCAGCAAAGTCTTCTGATGGGAATAAAAATTAATTTGCCCCATCACTGCTATTGGCAAAGAGTTACAGCAAAGGCTCATAAAGCTTTGGGTTTATATACACAGTGATATTTAATCAGAGCAAAATCATGAGCAATTTCTACTGAGTCTATACGGATTTATTAAATATGCTGCTTATTAAAGCAGCAATTGAATTATTTCTTATAAGACCTGTAGTGTCATTAGCTCAACTTATGCTTTGATAAACACTGTAATATGTACAGCAAGGGAAATGTTTTGAATTAAAAGAACAGAATATAGGGGGGAAAAAGGACAGAGAAAAATAAAACATGTTTATGAGCATACCAAGAAAATGCATCTATCAGTTATTTAGAGATGCATGTATTTGTTTAAGTAGCTCATGAAAATATACATATATATATCTCCCCACAGTTGAGAAGGTAAGTACATGGCAAAGTAAACTGGAGTTTTAAGAGAGAAAGTTTTTTATGTATCTCCAAGGCTGGGGAATTTTGCAGGTATAGGAAGATGTAGGAAGAGGGGAAAAAGGACAGAAATTGATTATGTTTAATAACAACAAATGTAGCTAATCCATATGCATTCTGTGCCATGCGTTGGAAAAATGCTGCTGAAAATTACATCCCTGATTTTTCCAAATATATGTTTTTATCGTAAAATATGATTTGACTTTTTAATCTCCTAAATCATCTCATGAAATCAAGAAAGGAATGCCAAATACTTTAAAAGCTTCCAAGATCTTGACAAAATGTTATAATTTTGTAACATTTCTAGTTTAGGTTACCTCAGAAACTAATCAAGTAATAGCAAGGTCAAAAAACTTTTAGTCATAATTTCCTTAACAATTCCAGTTCCAGAAATACATTCCTTAGGACAAAGCTGTTCATGACACAGGTAACATGTCACTGAAAAAAAAAAATTATCTTTTGACTGGCTTGCTCCTTCACATATGAACATTTAAAACACATGGCAATTACAGCCATGTAAACTGAGTATGTGTAAATTAAATATGATTTAATGAGTTTAACAGGAATTTAACGTACTTCATCAGCATGAATTTAGGAGAAGCCAGATCCATTATTCTATGATAATACAACAATTTGTAAGTCACTTGTGAAACAGAATATCCAGTTTGGAAACCTCTGCTTTACAGTTATCTGACGTCTAGCAAAAGTTAGTTCATTTGCTAAACAAGATGCATTTGGTGACTAGATGCAAGATCATTCATCTAAGAGCAATGAAAATGTCACACATCAAATATGTAAAAATCACCCCTGAATTCAGTTGTACTCGCAGGAATCACAGAATGAATCATAGAATGGTTTGGGTTTGAAGGAACCTTTAAAGATCATCTAGTTCCAAGCCCCCTGTCATTGTCAGGGATAGTTTTCACTAAAACAGATTGCTCAAAGCCCCATCCAACCTGACATTGAACACTTAAAGCTCAGGAAAGAATCAGGAACAATAATATCTGGACAGTTGAAACCAAGTTCCCAGACTGACTGAAATATAAGCAAGTGAAGCACAAATGGGAATTAGTGAACATTTGAGATGCACAGTTTAAAAAAAAATGAAAAATTCAAATGTGGTCAGAAAAATTCTAGATGAACACTTCTGGATCTCTTTACATAGATTGTTCAATGAAAAGTTTTTTCACTGAAAAAAAAAAAGACTTCTTCATATGTTAGTAACTGTGTTAATTTTGTTGAATTTACTCACTTGGATTACATCTTTCTGATGTTTTAAGTATACATGCTACCTTCAGTAAAATAAAGATATATGTAAATATCTGTGCATCCATTTTTATTTATCTGAAACTACCCCAGAACATGAGCATTGCTCAATACCTTCTTGGTAGTGCATGTATGATTAGCTGCACAATACAACAATATTGTGACCTAGATAAAGAATACGATATTATGTCTTCCCTTGAAGCATTAAAAGTAAGCCAAAGTTTTTATTAGTAATTGGAGGTCTCCCACGTTTTGCTGAACTTGAAGATATTTGATGGAGAATCTGACAGTTGAAGGTTTGAACTGTAGGACAATTTGTGAACTGATACTTTGGGGCAGGACTAATTCCCTCCAACTACTTATTTTTTACTCATTTCTACTGTTGGGTGACTTTATTTGTCTCCTGCTTTCGAATATCATAAATGTTGGACTCAAATTATGTTTCTTCATCACACATTAGAAAGTGTGATGGCTGATATCTTTTCATGTTACTAGAATCTATAAAACACTATTTCTAATAAATTTTTAGTATACAAAAATTTCAGTAGGAAATGAAAAGTATTTCCTGTAGCTTTCTATAATATTCAGCTATCTTCTATGTGAACTACATGGAAAAAACAACCAATCAGCTTTAGAGTCTGAAACACCATTACACTATATGTATTTATTGACAGGTCACTTGCTAAGTGGCATGGCTCCACAATTTGCTTTGCACAGCTTGAAACTGCCTAGGCTTCCATTACGGCTGAAGTTGTAAATGGCCATAACTTTGAACTCTTAATCTAGACATAGCATTTATACAGTAGATGACTCTCAGATTTGTATAACTGTCAGTCTCCTCTGAGAAAAAAACGAGGGAACTTATTAAGATGGAAGAGGTGCAGTAAAAGTCTTAAAACTGAGCTGTCAAAGGCGTGTGGACATGCCTAGCAAGTACAGCAGAGAATAGAGGCAAGGGTAACATTTTAGCAGCACTATATGAGGACTAAAAACTGGAAGATATAGATAAGGTCAATCAGTAGAGACGTACAAAGGTCAATCAGTAGAGACGTACACTGGAAGAGTTCTGTTAAGAATTTTCCTGTCAGCAGTCTCAGTTACATACTATTCCTGTTTGTTCTTACTTTCAAGGTTACATTTTAGACAGCACTAAAGGTGGGATTCATCTCATCTGTCTTAGAATGGAAGCTGCTTTCAAGAACTGTCTTTCTCTTCCCTTGCAATCATGGACTAAGTCTGGATAACTAAAAGGAGTTTAGACATCTAACATTTAGAATGAATCTCATTATCAGTGACTAATTGAACAGTCCATCCCTGCATCAAGGAACTTGATTCAGTAACATTCCCTTTTTTACTCAGATTTATGGCTACTCTTGTAACTGCCATCATGCTTGTCTAAAAAAAGAAAAGACCAATTGTTGAATTAAATGAAACACAAATGCCAAAATTTTGACTAAACAAATGACAAAAGCTGTAACAACTCTGTTTTGAACCTTGTGGTAGATGTACTGTACCATTCCCCATGTGACTGAAACAGTAGCAATATCATCTAGTAATCAGGAAGATATAATATTGTTTAAGTACTGTTAATACATTATCTAAAACAAGAGTATGTGGTCTTACTGACTATAGCTACCACATTTTTAAATAAAACCAGCTATTACTCTTGATTTTTTCATGCCATGCCCAGATGAAATGCACCACTATTACCATAATGGCCTTTTAAAATGTACCATGTCATTCACACAACCATAGAATTATAATTACAAAATTAGTTTGAGACAATATTTTTTGTTTCAGGTATGTTTTGGAGTGCGAGGGTGGGTACACAAATCCCACAGCGGGAATTGCGTGCATACCAGCTTCACACTGACTGTAACTCATAAGTATTGCTTCTTTCTTCTGGGCATTCATTGACATTAATTCAGATCCACATTGCTCTACACAGAAAAATCCAGTAAGACACTAAAAAGAATACAAGGCAAAAGACAGTGCACATTACATGCTACAGTATATTAAAGCTTGATTACTACAAGCATATAACAGGTTGCTCCCAGGAATTAAGTTCTTTACAATAGCCACTACTAAGTCACGGTCTACAGGATGTGCATGAGGTATTTGATTGGGGCATAGTCCAAACTAGTTCAACGATGCTGATGAATTCAATACACTTTGAAACAATTAAATGATTCCTTCTGGTTGCAGAAGTGATTGATTATCAGTACAATGAAGCAGCACAATATACTTTATTCTGGGAGCAAGCAACTTTGCTTGGTACAAGACTTCTTCGTATTGCTCGTCATGCCAGCGTTAACATGCCTTCACAACAAGATAATATATACTTAAAAGCAAGAAGCGAAGTAGAGGTGCAACAACTGCAGATCCTTGAAGATGCTAAGTGTTGCAGTAACTTCTCTGCAGTTGGATCATATCAATAATGCCAAACTGACAGGAAGCCACCTCTTTTTTCACACATCTACTCAGAAATCACAGAAGAATAAGACTAAAAATTAAATAAATATAACACATACAATACACGCAACAGAAAAGACATGGAAAGTAAAGTTTAGAGAGTATGATGAAGGAAATTGAAATGGCTGGACAATGAGAATGGGGCTGCAAAGAGTACCACTGACAGTCAGATAGACTGCTATTAGCAATTAGAAAAACAAAGCTGGGAGGCGGAAGAGAGATGAGGAGAGGATAGGATATGGAAGAGCATGCTTTATTTACTTGATCCAAACCAATAGCCGCAGGACAGAATGTAGGCTAAGAGGGACTCACAGCATGGTATACCAAAAGAAAATGCAAAACATGCCATCCCAAAGAAAAAACAAAACTGAGAAACAAATACATTTGGTAACATCTTCATAAATGAGTTTAATAAACATCATTAAAATGAATGTGACATATAGTACAAACTATCCATGGCACTTTCACTGGAACAGTACAGTAGCTTTAATGAGTACTGTATTGTGAATAACTGGGCTCAAAACAGGTATTTGGTTGTTGTTAATGGAAGGTGAGACTACAAGAGAACATGAACTACTGCATTATAAAACGTGTTTTGAAGGAAGACGCTGGGGAAAGAAGGACATCAATGAAGGTGTGAATATGGAGACAACATGGCAGCACAAGGGCTGGTAGAGACGAAATATACATCGTCACGATATAGTACAAATGAAAAAAGAGGAAGGGAGATGTTAACAGTAAAGTCTGCTTTTCATATGCAATAATCTGATACACCAATGACTCCACAGGGGGGGAAAAAAAAAAAGAAAAGTCTAAAAAACTTATACTGTTTTAATTTGTACTTCCTGCAAAGAAGTTAGTGCGTGAGTCACAAGAACCAACGGAGAGACAAAATGCTGTTCTCTCTTGTCTTTGAGATTGGGGGCTTATATATAAATATACACACAGATATATATATACACAGACATATAGACAGATGAATATATGTATATGTATATGTATATATGTGTGTGTATATACAGAGAAAGATAGACAAAGATGTTATCTTCCTGTGTTCTTGGCAAGGAATTAGTCCTGAAGTTAGAAGGAGTGGAGGTAGGATTGAGGTTGGAAGGAAAGGTAACGAAGAGGGCATACCGCTTTCGGCTTCTGCAAACGACAAGAAAAAAATTGCAAATCAAACACTTTGATAAGAAATCAACTGACACAAAGCAAAAGCAAAAAAACCCTTTATTTAAAAGTCTTCAAGGCTTAAAGGTTTTTCTGCTGAGAATGAGAACAAATATATGGATAGACAAAGAGAAAATTTAACAAGAGGGGTAAACACAGGTTGCAGGAGGGAAGAATCCTGGTTAGGCTTTTCTTCTTGCTTACTCATGTGGAAAAAAGAAAAAAAATATGGTGAAAAAAGGAAGGCAAAAACATCTCTAAAAGGGATTTCAGATGAAGAGTTTGAATGTCTGTATTTAGAACTGATATTTTTTGCTATCTATTCACCATGCTCTGCTGGGAGATTTTCAGGTTGATGTTCTCCATGTTCCTTTAGCATTTTTTCTACAGAAGGAACAAAACCTCTCTACAAATGAAGTAAGACCATTTTTTAGCTAAAGTATTTGGCTTGCATCAGGGACACAAAAACTTATTAAATAAGTGCTTCCTGCTCTTAATAATGGATTATAGTATTCCCATGAGAGAATGGGAATATTCCCATAGAGATGAAGGAATGGCTAACTCACATTGTGACCTGGAACTACTAAAGTGCAGACCTTAGTAGCTGGTCAGAAACCCACTAAATTCAGTCACGTTGTGTAAACTCATAAGTTTATTTGATAACTGAGAAGTAACGTAAACATTATTAAATACATAACTGTAAAGGTAAAAAGAATTAATTTAATCATGGTCATTTTAATTAATCTTTAAGATACCGTGATGATAAATAGCTGCCTAAAAAGATAAACATACTATACTTTAACCATTACTTGAAAATGAGTTTGTGTTTATCACATCAATGACTATATTACCTATATTTAGGCTTGAAAACTTTTAAATTCTGCTTGTAAGAAATCTTGTAAAATCATAAATTGTTTATAATTACCATCTAATACTGTCAAAACTAGTTATCAAGGTGTGCTTACTGTTTTGTGCAGCTTTATTAGGAGTCAGGAAAAAAGCAGAAAAAAACAACTGCAAGTAGGAAGCTCAGCTACTGCTAACTTGTACATTAATATTAGCTTGGATAGACTTCTGATGATTTATAATTACTATTGATCTCAAATTCCCTATGGTAGAGTTAACAGAATTTGGCTGTAAATCAAAGTTTTAGAAAAACAGCATCTAGGAGATTGCCTCGGGAAAAAGAAGCGCATAGGTAAATGAGTATATATGACATTCTACATGTAATAAAGATATTAACAAAGCCAATGAAAATTCTGGTTTTGGCCTAAGGATTTACCCTTAACAATGAGGTGAAAATTTAAAGAGGGAATTAGGAAATCTAGAATGCCCTCACATTACCAGTTTTGAGAGCTGCACATACTTCTGAATTCACTTTGCTCTGCTTTAGCTCTGGGTGCAAACTGATGAAAGCAGATGAAACTAGTCTTAAAAGGAAATTCCTTAAGTGAAAAAACAGATATATGATTTACTTATATAGATATTCTATTATGACTAGTAATAAAAATTAAACTGGCGAGAGTAAGATCTTCTTATCCCTCAAGCAGAAGGAATGCTTTCAAAATTTCCTCTGCTTCTGAAAACACTGGTCCTAGACCTGTCTCAGCTATGGCAAGAAATACTAGCTTTTAATAAAAGATTGCCACCTAGATAATATTCTGAATTATAATTTATATTTATCATTGTTGCTCTAAATTGTAAACTATGTAAAACCTCTCAATAGTTTTACAAAATATGAATCTAATCTATAATCATAAAATAAATCAGCACATATCTACTGTTGGTCACTCTCATAAAGAGTGTCAAAGTGTATCACAATCAGTTCCCCCTTCACCTTTATGAAGAAATAGCACTGAAGAACTTAAGATGTGACATAGAATAAAATATTTCCAAAGTCAACCTCAACAAACATAACTGGCAAATGACAAATGTATCTTGTTCAAAGACAGTTTGCACTTGTAAACCATGTTATTCTAATTTTTATCTTAATACCCCATCTTTTCATTTAGTAAGATGCAAGGAAATGCAAGTATACCTAAAGAAGTGAGAAACTGAAGTTTTGTTCCATTACCTTTCTGGTTAGGCTAAAAGCCTCCAGCTCAGAAAAAACACAAATATGTACTTAACATATTTGGGTTGAAGAGCACAGGAACAAGTAGAACAGTAAAGATATGCTGCAGGTAGCTCTGTTATTCACTGAACAGTGACTATAAAATTATCACTGGTTAATAAAGTCAGCAGATATTACTGTAGATCAGGGTTACAAGAAAATGTGAATATCTAGTTTATATGCTGTATTGTTGTTACATGGGTGAATATCTAGTTTATATGCTCTCTTCTTGTTACATAGGTATTCACGAAATCCAGTTATCCCTTTGTTAGTATTGTTTCCTGCAATCTTTAGGCTCTTTTTTCCTAACAAATTAATTGATTGTGAACTATTACCTGTGTGGCTTTAAGTAAGAAGGAATATATCATTGTATCATATTGTGTTACTTTTTGTGGGATCCTCTGCATCACCCTTGTGATTAAGAACTCAATCCAACTCCTACTGAAGTTAGTGCAAAGAATGATATGGAAGCCATAAATTATCTGTTATTACTGAAAAAGACTGTAATATTAGCACTTATGTAAGTAAATGACAACTGAAGTAATGACAACCTAATTCTTCGGAGAACCAACAGAAATCAAATATTTTCTAATATTGCAAATACAAAATCTGGTAAATAGATCCACTGCTGTTACTATCATAGTTTTCTTTTTTCTAGGAAGAGATGAAACTGTTCAGAGACAAAAGAATAAAACATTCGCTTTATATTAGCTAATGCAGAATGAGATCATTCAATGCAAAAGTATTTTAAGAGCCCATGGAAGCTGGAAATATTAAAAAATTCTGATATTAAAAAAAAAAAGGATTTCTTAATCGGTATAGTGTGGGTAAAAATAGTATCGAATAGCACATACACAACTTCACGTACCACTTTATAACGTGGGAAAGAATCAAGCAAACCAAACTATAGGGTACGGAAATACTTATAGACAGCTGTAACATTGCATTTTCCTTGTCAAAGGCCCCACATAATTTTTACAGATATTTTTAATAAAGAAAAAAAAAGACAACATTTCATAATAAACATTAAAATAAACTTTCAAAACCTCAGAAATTGTGGCATGAGCTTAAATGACAGAATTGATCCTCCTGTGAGGAGAAACAATCACCCTGAAAGTTTTAGGTAACTGGTGGCCAAAAATAAGATGAAATAATATGTATCATTCCACATTACTACAGTAGTACAGAATATAATTTTTGACAGAGGAAAATAAAATTCAGCTCAGAGTCAGTATAGTCATATTTTTATTATATACCCCTCCACATGTTGCAGAGCACATTTATAACATTTTTGTTATATACAAAAATGAATGTTGTGTAAAGCACTGTCAGACAAGTTGACAGAAGATTGACGTCAGTGTTCACTCAGATTTTTATGAATTTTTGTACAAAAAACCTGAAAGAAACACTTCTTTTCCTGTGTATGATTCTGTACTAATGATAATGAATTTTTTTCTTTTTGGTTGAGGATAGGAGTCAGCCAGTTGACAATTTCAAGGCTAAATTAATCTCTTCCAGTTTCATGATGTTATTCATATATACAAGCTTTGTCAGAGTAGATACCATATAAAAACTATGTTTATCATATATTTCTGTTTATCCTGTATCATATCTAAATTGGTTCTTCCAAACTCATTTAAATGAAATTATTATTTTGAAAATACACATAGCCATAATGAGTTTTGATATCACATCTGTTTTCCACTTTTCTATTTTCAGTAAAATAAGTTGGACCTCTCATTAAAACTGATGGACTATGAACAAAAACATTGTAAGTTTTCGTTTAATTAAAAACGAAATGCACTTCTGGAGATAGGACATAGGTATCACTGTCCCCCCACCTTCTATTAAATATTCTGACTTGAATTAATTTTAGGGAAGAAGACTACGACAGAAACAAAAGCCTTTCAGCGCTATGTGAAATGGTATAATGTGATGGCATTCTAATTATACTCTGAAATGTTTCAAAAGTGTAAGAATAGCTATGTTCATTGTGAAAACAAAGCAGGCAAAATTCCTGACAGTGCGTTCCAGAACTTCAAAACATGTAGGCATTGGACATACCTGCTTTCTCGTTTTTCCGACTTGTATTCTATGGCTATCATTAAGAGCTTTAGTTTCGCGAACACCAGTCTGCAGGAAAAGAGGAGGCCAAAAGTCAGTCCTTCTTCACAATCAATATCACATATGTAGAGATGGATGTGAGGTATGTATTTTCTTTGAAAACTTACACTAGAATTTTTCCCATTTTTTTCAGTTAGGTATACACAGAACATATTAAGGTCTTTCTATTTTGAAGGTAATGAACATATACTTTCCTAAAAATAAAAACTGACAAGTTGAGAACAGTAGTGTAAGCACAACACACTATGTTACTAAGTCTACTTAAGCAATAATAACAAAGGTCATGATACATAACATAAAATTGCATTTGGCTATAGTTGTGGATGTCTTGAGGAAAATTTTCAAATCTTTGCTGGAATTCAGTCATATGTTGATTATAGTGTGTATTCCTTAGAAAATATGTATATACTGAACTAAAATGAGAGTACACTATTAAGTCAATATTTACCAACTACCGTCACAGAGGAACAGCACGACCGGAAGACATTTCTGACCAATATATAGGAAGTATGTTCTGACACGGTAATAGACATATTTTTAGTTGTAAAAGTCTGTACAAGTGGGTATTTATTAAAACAACTCAAGGATGATACTTATAGTCTTGCAGAAATGTGAATTAGCACAATACCATTTGCTTGAAGCTAATAGGCTCTGTGAGAATAAACAAAGAAAAAAACATTTTTTTAAAAATAACTAGAAATAATTTTCCATTTTTGTCATTGAAGTGTATGCAAATTCAACGCCACTGGCTTCCTGTTCTAGAAATTTGTCACAAATTATTCTAGGGCTCACCTTTCAATTGACGGCTGACATCTTCTATATCATACACTAACTTTTCCAGTGCTAAGTGCTTCTCTACAAACTTCCTTACTTCAGTGTTACTAATTTTTTTTGCATATATTTCAATAATATTTATTTTCTTTAAGCAAATTAAGCAATATTCTGCATACTTTGCATCACTCATATACTCAGCAGAAAACAAAGAATTGGCTGATAAACTGATAATATTCCATTTCTATAATAAATTTCAGAAATCACTGTGAACAGTTAATTTCTGCTTTTCAAAATAAGAGAATAGAGATAAGCATGGATGTAGGGATTCTGACAATGCTGAGGTAATGTGTTGCATATCACATAAGGATATATACAATCAAATTTACTTTGCACTGTTTAAGTTTTGCAATGTAATAATTGACTATATTTTTCCTTCAAAAATTTTCCTTTTAAAGGATTGTAAAAGTACCTCTGTAGTCTCCTTGTCTGGGGAGGCAAGTGATAGCTCAGTATTGGGAAGCAACCAAAAAGACAGATAGGGGCAAGATTCATTTAACCTTTTTTCAGAATCAATTAAAAGTTTTATTCTACCTCCAAAACTTCAGCCAATGTCAGAAATGGGCAGACAAAATACTGATAGTTACTGAATTCTCGATTAGCCAATCACCACCCATAATATTAACAAGTAAACGAAGCCTGACTATCAGCATCAAAAAAAGAAAAATTTAAAAAATAAATCAATTTTCAAACATTAACATCAGAGTGCCCTATATGTTGTATTAAGACTATTATGTATGTTATTATTAAAGAGGATATAAAATACAACTTTGAGCTGTAAACATCAAGAGTTCTAAACCTATTTTTTTATTTTGACCATCTACATTCCTTCAGGAAACACGCTTAACTTCTCTTCCTTGGTTTCAAGTTTTGTCCAGTATTTGATAATCTATCTCTATATTTATCTTCATAAGAAAAAAAAAACACAACCCAAACAACAGAGTCAACATAAAGATATAAGCAGAACGCTACCCTAACACTTGGCATCAGTATCTCATTCTTATCTCTAGATATAGCAAAAATATTTAAGTTGTAAAATAAACAGGTTCACATGCACTTGGCCATGCAGTTAAACATTCAGATGAATAAGTCTCACCATTTAACTGTATTGTGCAAACATAGTTTGATATGATTAAAATAAGAAAGATCTTATATCTCCTTTTTTTTTTTCCAGATACATAAATAACCTTGTAATAAGAAGTTAGAACACTTTTTATCTCAAATTATCGCATTGAAGTCCACAAGAATTGTCAATGACAGTACATGAGGCATTAATTTCTATTTTATTTTCAACTGCCAGCATCATCTGCTAACTACTGATGAATACAGATGGTCATGAACAAAGGCTCTTAAGAATTTGAATCTGACTGTTTCTATCTACCCAGAGAGAAATAAATTGGTTTTGACATTAAACCCTTCTTCTATACTGGTAAGACTATCTCATTAGCATAAATTAACCATAGATACCTGCTGTATTATTTGCATGTGAAAGTACTGGGATATTTAGAATTTAAAGAAATTATCATTCTCCTTTCTGAGCAGCAAAACATGAAGATACAACCTTGATTAGTTATTAATTACTTATTTTTTTATCAGACATTAAAAAAAGGATTTTAATTAGAAAAATCTACAGGAAGGAAGCTTTTTCCTCTCAAACTAATTTTTTGACTGAAATCTTGTACATCATAAATCCTTCATTTTTTTTCCTCAGGGTAAGTTATAACATTCTTTGCTGAACTACTTTTGACAAAGGAATAGGTACACTCCTCAGGAGAGAAAAAGTATTTTCAGCTACTTCCATACCTTGATTCAGCTGCAGTTAGCAAAAGCATTTTGACATAGGATAAATCACATTGCTATTCACCTAATGAAAAATATATGGAAAAATATAAGTCCTGATAAAAAAAGTAGTAACTTATAGTAGCATCTTAAGCTGAGCAAATTAGTTACAATATCAGAATTGTTTCATAAATATATTATCTTTGTCTTCTTTTCAAACTATTTTTTAATGCACATTGGCAACTGGTGCTTACTTTGGTGCATGCCAGTATGTTAGGAGAATATCAGGAACGTTACTTTTATAGAGCAGCACTGTCTAAAACCAATGTAGTCAATGAGGTTTGTATATTGGAACAGAATTTATCATAATATATATAACAACTGAAATATCTCTTTTAAAATCTTGTTAATGTCAGGCTCAGCTAATTTCCAATCACATGAAACTGGCAAAAGCATGGGGACCTTCTGCTTTCAGCCTACAGCTGGGTGCTTCCAGACGCTGAGCACTCATGCATTGGTCAGGCAAGGAAAAAAAAATAAACCAAATACTCACAGAACTATTAAAAATTAAGCAAATTTCACAGAACTATTCAAAAACTTAAAAGTAAGCACTCATGTAAGTGGTTATCTGATCAAGTGTAAAATGATAAGTTTGTTACCAAGATTTTTGGCGGCCTTGTCAAAATATATAATATGTATTTTACAGGTGTCTTACTAGATCATTACATGCACTTCTACTACTGCATTAGAACTACTGGATCTTAAGTATGTTCTAGAAGAGCAGATGACAACAGAAGTTACAGGAGGAATCAGAAATTAAAGACGCTGAGAAATGGAAAGCCACTGGCCAAAACCTATCACATACATAACACAGAAGGCATTGGTGTTGCTGCTACCAGTACTGGAAAATTTGCTCAAAAAGTAATACTTAACTACTATTACAGTTATTTTGACTTATAATACTGTTTATCTTACATGACTGTTGCTTATTATTTACAGCTCAGAAAAACAGTAAAAACTTTGAGCATTCTGTGAAAGGATAAGAAACCCTAACAGGCCAGCTCAGAAACACAGAAGAATGAAAAAACCACAGCTGTGCCACATGTATGTGTAATCATGCAGATATTTCTACATCTGTGATTGCTATGTATCTTACATTACTGTGAAGCAGAAGTAACTCCACTAAAATGATGGAATCATTAACTTAATGAAAAGCCAACAATGCCAGGAAGTTTAGTTTACTAGACACGATTTATTTAAGCAGGCAGTTCCATGTCAGATTACAATTTTAACCATAATCTCAGCTGTGAAGAGACACAGATACTACATATTCAAGATACGTTTTCCAGTCTAATCCCATCTGATCAATAAAATGAAACACAATTAAAGTTTATATTTTGCAAGTTATGAATCACTGGTTACAAAGCAATACTCATTGCCAGGTTCAGTCCATGAAAAACAGTGTTCATGCATATTGCCAAAACACTGAAGAACACACTTTTTAATTTCTTTAGTCAGAGTCAGGAACCAACAGAGGTATCAAAAAGAGATTTGAAACTAATGAAAAGTACTGCATACAAACAATGCCTAAAGCACCTGCATGGCAACACTTTAAATGTAATTTAGTACTTCAGTAAACATTTCCCCCTTATACGTGAATACAATATACAATATACAATATAAGTTTTGATGTCTTGTCTTTTGCTTTGTTAAATAATGCTATAAGGCTATTTAATCTTTGAAGGCTCATCATGGGAAGTATCTGGAAAAGGTTCTTGTCCCCTAAGCCTTTAAATGATCTTCTGGTTGAAGGTTACAACAGACTAATTTCCTGTCTCCAACAGTGTAACAGATTGGGGTCGGGCAGAGGGAAGCTATCAGTGCAGAAGCTGAGCATTTAATATGGGTCTTTTAAGCACCTATTCTACAGACCTAACAAAGTTTTTAGCAAATAATTTTGTTAATATTTGTTAAAAGAATAAAAAACTCACTGAAGTGGGCCAAGGTTTGCTTAAATCAACCAAAAAAGCCAAAGTACTCTTTAAATCTAGCACAGCGGAAAAAGATCTCCAAGACTAGAACACTACTAGGATTATGAGGAATTCATGGTGGCAGGAAAAGTAAACATCCAGAGCAAGTACAGAATACCAAGTGTACATGTTAATACAAAAGCGTATAATATGGGTGAACCTTGACAAAGATCAGGCTGTTTTCTAGTGGGTTCATGAGTCATTACAGAAATACTATAATAGAGTGTGTGTAGAGTGGCTTATGTCACTCATGATAACAGGACATACATCACTCATAATGACATATATTACTCTCTATATATACCCACAAAAGCACTTCATACAAATTAATGATTTGTACCAGTTCCAGTCAGCAGCTGCTGACGAGACCAAGAGCAAGTGAGCAAATAAATCTGCTGCTCACAGTAGTGGATACCACTACTAGAATGGTAGTAAGAATGTGAGTTGAATATTTAACAGTTTTTGGCTGCTGACCTGTCAGTCTGTTATGAAAACACTGAATGTAAGAAATGTCAATACAGAACTCTACATTGATTTTTCTCCATATTTCCCACATCAATTATTATCTTGGTTTACAAGATGGTTCCTGAGTTGAAATGCAATGGAAATGCTGTGAAGTGTTGTGGAATACATTCTACTCCAATCCACACTTGGCTATGGAGTTTCAGAAATACTTCTTTTTCATTACTTTTGTGTATTCTTATCCTGCTAAACAAAACTATAATTCCACTGTTCTTTCTGGCTTCCATTAATGTTGGTGATATTGGCCTAAGAAAACTAAGTAAGCATATTGTTCCTATAAGAGCTCTACTGAAGGTTTTAAGCACAAAGAAACCAAGCTTTATTTATAAAAGTGGGTATTGTTAGTTTTCTAGATATGTACAGAAACATAGCTGTTACATATACAGAGGTTTGAATTAATAAACCAAAATTTGTTCAGTAATTACTAACCCACTAATTAGTGCTTGTACCAAGTGTAGTAAAATCTAGGTTATCCAAAACCATGGTGTAAGCATTGGTAACAGTAACATAGGCCTCCATACTTTAAATGCATTAAAGAAGAAAGAACTGTGGGAAGATGCAAGGCCTCTGTGCTGATCTATGGATATTTCTCTATTGAAGCAGACTTTTTATACTTGCGAAAAGGTTGCTGTCCACAGAGATGAAATTAGGGAGCACAGTAAGACCTTATAACATCTATTCTCATATGTTGGCTCTTGCTATCTCATAGGTGTGCCTGAGGACATTATCATCACATGTTCATTGGCTGGGTGGAGGCACTGGGGTGGTCAACCTTTTGTTGGGCGGACCCAGAGGAGAGTTTCTGAGAGCACTTGGAGGAAAGTGTAAAATACAGGAGACTGCCAGTCTCTGGCAGAATCAGATTGAGTCTGATTTTAATTACAGTCAGAAGATGGAAAGATTCATTTAGAGTCATGTCAGTCTAGAGGCTGTCTTGTGGCTTGGCCACTACCTGAGCTGAGCTTAGGTTTGTTGAGTCTAAAATCTAACACACATCTGCAAAGTTGAATAAAATCCTAGGTTCAGGAAAAGCTCTTAATTTAACAGGTACTGACTGATCCAGCATCACTGCTTCAGAGGGGCAGAAAACTGGTCGTATTATGTGTAGCTTAAGTCTCAAGAGTCCAAAAGTGCTTAAGATTTACCTCAGCCTCTGAGACAAGTCAGAAATCTAGTTGAAAAGAATGATCCAAAGATAGAAGCAAGAACTTGACAGTTACAGGCAGTCCATGCTGTCCTTACTCTATGAAAGACTGGTTTAATTTGGAGTTACTCTCAGACTAGGAAGTGCTACTGCTATGAACATATCCAGAAGAGAAATAATCTGTTGTGGAGCTCACAGAGAATGTATATAAGTGCTGAGTGTCACCTACTCGCCTAAATTTAATTCTTCTTTGTCAGGACACTGAGGTTTCTAAGACTTCTGTGATTTGCTCCCCAAACGGTCTGTTATAAAAACATATAAAAAACCCAACATGACTAATGTGGGAAAATATGCCTTAGTTACAAACCATGCAACAATATGCTGCACAAATACAGAGATAATGACATCTCTACAATTTTGCCTTTTATTAAAACATGGCTATGACATTTGATTGAATGAGTGACTTCAAAAACAGAAGCAACAGTAAAATAAGAGAAGTGGGCACCTTTCATATGCTGTTTCCACTGCTAAGTCAAACGTGAATCCATAGATGTGCTAGCCTCATTAAGAAAATTTTTCAGTGGAGAATGGTGGGTCTAGAACCTGGGTGAAGGTTAGCCTTGCATTAGTAAATATTAGAAGGCCCACTAGAAGACCCTGTGCTAGTCGGGGACAGTTTAGTTAGTTTACTCTTCAATCAGCACCATCCACACCTGGTCCAACAATATCCAAGAGCACAGAACAATAGGAATTACATTCATGTAATGAAAATATATTGGTGGGAATATGTTCACACAGTACACACACATATACTCAGAGTTATAAGTAAAACTTACAGACTGATAATAACTTACATTTCAATCTAGTTCTTCACCCTGGTGTTATCAAAAGCTTGAAATTGTCAACAATATTGACTATCACACCCCCATTGAAAGAGGAGATGTTTCTGCACTCTATGTTTGTTATCCAAACTGTATGGCAGCCTATTTACCGAAGGATCCCATTCCTAGACCAGAAATCAAGACCAATAAACTGAGGAAGCAGTATATCCCATTTAGATTCAGGGTTTTAAAATCTCATTGACTGCATAAATTTTAAAAGCTAAATTACAATAACTGTTCTCAAAGTCTGTATATTTTGTGGGTAGCTGATCACACTAAGGCTGTCCACTGATCTTATTTCCTCTTCACAAACCATTACAACGCGCTTTTTGCTTTTCTTCACTTCTTCTGGATATTGAATAGCCAGTTCTTACAGTAAAGAAAATACCTATGCACCAAAGTCATTAATATGTAACAACACTTTTTAATTTTCAATAAGCTTTAACTAACCTGAATTTAATAGTTATTAAATTGTTGGAAAATTTGAGATAGATCTTTTTCTTTAATTTAAACTAGGAAACACAGTTAATTAAGCCTCCAGATAACCAAATCCTTGAGAAGACCTCCAAAGTTTAGACGTTTCTAAATCTCAAAAAATGCCCTTCTTTATTGATTATTTTATCTCAGTTCTACCAGCACAGTTGAATGAATGTCAGCTTTACGTCAAATACAATCTCACTCGAATGCTTCTAAAAACTCATAGAAACTCAACTATGTTTGACAATGGTTTGGCGTGGAGATCTAGTTTTCATGATTGTAGCACAAATTACCATTCATTCTGAATATAATACAAATTTCTAGAATACCTTACAAGATTTTCTATTTCAAGATATCCAGGCAAAGTTTTGTGCTTATAAACATTTTCCCTCAATAACTTAGTCACAGTCTGGTTAACACAGTGGAGGAATGGATTGTGAACCCCTTCATTTTACTAGCAAATTGAAGACTGGGCTCTGTCATAGCTACATCCCAGAAAAAGACAGATTTTTAAATGGATAGCATTGGTCTAACAGTTGTTTCTCCTTCACTTTTATGTCATAACCTACGTTTATGCCACTGTAAAAATCAGAAAAGTTGGGAGAAGCAAGAGGAGTTAAAGTAAAATCATTCTCCTTTAAATAAGAGGTATCTGTCTTCTTCCTCTATTTCTTCCTCTAAGAACAGAGTCTGCAGAAGTTTTTCTGTGTTACCTAGTTAGACATCAAACATTTCAGAGCAGGGTCTGTTTCTTTCTAAGCACTTGAATGGTCCCTAGCAAAAGCTGTCCACAGTCTTTGTTGTGATTTTTTCGTACTGCTGTAATGAAGAAGAATGCCAACCAAAGACGAAATACGACTGTGCTAAACTATCCTGACTGTGTTTGTGGCCACAGTATTTATCATAGAAGCGTTATGCATACAAATCTTTCATTTGCAGAGTCATTCTAGGACAAATACAAGGATTTTCAGTCTCTAGAAATAAAGTCGTAGCATGGCTTATGCTATGATTATATACTATATGCTTCAAATACTCCATTCTTAATACAGAATAGACATTTTTTCTGACATATTTCATTTGTTAAAAGTGGTTTGCAACCAGTTCCACACAGCTCTGGATGCCACACTGCTTATGTGACTCCAACACATCTGTTTCAATTAATGAATAATTTCCTTGGAATGGGACTTAAGCCAAGACGGTGATGCTGACAATCACTGTTCAAAGAATGAGAATCATTAAAAGAAACAATAGGATACCACTTACAAGTAAATAACTCAATTTAAATGGATTGCTGATGAATTTGTTCAACACTGAAAACATTTATGCTTTCATTTTCAATCACTTAATTCCAAGTCTCTTCTGAAAATAGGCATTACAACCTTTGGAATTCTTCCATGCAGTGACTGCTTTAATGACTGTTTTATTGGATCCCATCTGATATAGCAACACTAGCATTGTAGCAGAGCGAAAAGGTCTCCTGCAGAAACCTTAGATTTCACTTGAGAGAAGGAAAATACTTAGGTATATTAATATGTATTTCTACTTACTCACAAACTGCAGGGAAGGACAAACCCACAAAGGCACTAGACAGATATTCTGTATACATTTCATTTGCAACTCCTTCCAGGTAGTATTTCTGCCATGTATCCTCCTCAATCTAAAACAAAGAAACACAGATGCAGAGTTCTGAGTAAAACCAAAAGCTTTCTTTAAAATTTACAAAAAACTGCTTAAACATAAATCAGATTTTAACAAATAAGTCAGTAGATTGTTATAGCAGTTAATACTGCTTATTTTCACAGAATTTCCTGGAATGCCAAAAAAAGAACAGTCCATGTAGTTAGTAAATCAAGTATCCTATTAAAAATAATATACTCAATTCTTGGCAAGCACATTCAGCATGAGGTGAAATAAGGTCATAGAGCGCTTGAGGAAAAAAGTTCCTCTCATTTTTCTCTTTCTGAAAATTCTCTAGTGAAATGATTGCTTTATACTGTTATTTGAGTCTAACAATGTTTCAATTATTTTCTCCTTGTTTAGAAGTTGATTAGCAGTCAAAACACACAGCTTAAAATTACAATTTTTTTTTCTTCCCTGCATCTATAACTAACATGGAAATATGAGAAACGTATTGAAACAATTTCTTCAGTGGTCATCAGTACTTTAGGACAACTGAAGAAAACCTTTACTGCTAAATTCAGAGATCATTTACTGTTGAAAGTATGAAGAAAACAAGTCAGAGATGCTACAGGACTACCATCAAAAGCTCAATATATTTGCCTAAGTAGATGTTTCTAGTGATATTTGCGATGCACATGCAATCCCACTTAGCTTCCAGCTGCTGCCCTGGGGTCCATGGATGCCATGTCATATCTATAAAACTTATATCTCAGACACTCTATAAGGTCTTTCAATTCGCAACACCTATATTAAAGTAACTGGATCGAACTGCTTAGTATCCGTCAGCAGAAATAGCACTATAATTCAGAAAAGCAAATACACAGCTAGGTGATATGACTGGAAATATGGCATATGCTAAAGCTGTTCACTGTTGAAATCCCAGTTCTCTATACCACAAATTTGTGCCCTCATCCAAAGTTTGTTTGAGATTTGACAGTCATTCCCAATGAGACCTTCCTAGGCAAACTAGGTAAACCACCACAAACACGCAGCCTGAAATATCTAAGGTCTCACATCAAACACTTGCTTCCCTATTTATTATATCACATTAAAATAGAGCAAAAATTTCAACCACAATGGGACATTTCTGCATGTAATTATCTCTTCAGCTTTATTCACTAATTGTGCTATATAAATTGTGTGAACAGAGAAATTCATATCTGCAAGAATTATGCACAGCACCAAAAATGTATGTATGATAATAGCGTGTATATGATTAGCAAGAAGCATGTCAATTACATCAGACTAGCAAAAATAATGTGACATATTCATTTTTTTACATTTTACATTATCACATTTAATTAACCAGAGTCTATCTGACTAGATAGTAAATAGGAAACAAGTAAAAAGAGAGAGATCGAGAGATCAGAGATTTTAATTTTCTTAAATAAGGCACAGGATTTTACAGATCATGGGAATATGTATCTTGTAATTTAGTTCATGTCTAAAAGCTGTATTTTATTCTTTGCCCAAAAAAACCCTCTTAGTTCCACTGTTTAGGTAGCCCCATTATGGACTTCATCTTACAAAGCAGAAAGTGAGACAGTATTGAGTTTAGATGTGAAGGTCAAAAAATTGACACAATGAGAAAGTTTTTTTTTTTAAAAACTATTGGTAGAGATTTGCAAAGCTACCTGAAAGGTTGAAGTGCCAAATACTGACTGACCTGAGAAGGACTTGGATAATTATATATATCTTTCATTTCACAGTTTGTCTTTTTCTGATATCCCCAGTTCTTCCTGAAGCTCAGTCTACATTGCGTAAAGAGATGACGATACTAATCCTGCAGGAAACAGAGCTGTAGCCAGGCCCAATGAAGTGGCAAAAAGGATGCTTCAGGAACATCCATCCTCATAAATTACTGCAGGCAAGGCTCAAGTGCTTTAATCTACACAGCTGAGCTTGCTTGTCTGAAGTCCCAGAGCCAGTATAACAGCAACCAGCCTAGTATGAGCCAGATTTTTCTTTCCCATTACATAGAGAACACTCAGCATTTCAGAAATGCTTATCAAAGAATTCAGTCCAGTAAGATAAACAACTTATTATTGCTTTAAAATCTTGTGCAGCTACATTACTGCCCGCTATGTCAAATGCCTTGGATAATATCCAGCCAATCATTTTAATAGTGTCAAATGCCTTATGGCAGTAAAACATAGGCCTGTATATTCTTTATGGTAAAAGCATCGTAGTATGTTAGGCGGGGTGTGGGGTTTGTTACGAACATATATTCCAAACAGCAATATAAATGTACATGTCTCACTATTCAAGAAAAGAAATTAATACATCAGATGTGACTTGAATAAAGGTGTCCAAATTAATTTTTCAGCTATTCAGCAATAAATTGAGAAAATCATCTTTAAAGTAAGAACTTTGTCTGTTGTGTCAAATTACAGCTGTTTTAAAACACCATTAAAGCAAGAGGTTCTTGCATAACATACAGGGCTTAAAGGAAATCTCATCATGTAAATTCAAAAAAGGATAAAAAATTAAGATGAGAAAAATTAAAGCACATACTCTAACTACCAGACAGTTCAGGTCTGTGACCAAAAACATACTCTATGCATTTATAATGTATCCGTCCAACTCTCTGCCTCTTAAATTTAAAAATGAATTCATGCCTACATAGATACAAATCAAGACTTTTTTCTGGATAGTAATTCTATTTTTCCTTTAACTAGTTTATTTACATTGTTGTTTCATTAGTTGTACTTCTTATTATTCTACTCTAAATTATGCTTCTAGACAAGTTATAATCAGACGAAAACATTAAGTGTTTAACAAAACTGTTAAGCCAAGTAATTGGTGTTTTTTTAATTTTAAATCTTTAGGAACTTTCAAAATCTATGCTTTAGGAAATAAAATTATATGAGCACAAGCTGTAAAAGTAAACTATATTTTAAAAACAAAAGCTATAACGGTTATGGAGTCCTATCCATTCCCCAAGAATCTAGAATAGATTTTTCTTGTTCTTTCTTATACATTTTTATTAAACATTTAATATTTTCTAAAAGTTTTAAGTTATAGTTCTGTATTCCATATTGTTACTCCAGTTCCAAATCATGAAGCTCACAAAACCCCATAAAATAAGAATTCTACAGAAATGCAGTGACGTTCCTCTTCCTACTCCTTTTTCTGCTCTTTTGGAGAGCTGTCTTCATCCCTGCTTCCCCTGCCTGAAGTTCCACAAGTCTCTGCCCTTCACTCTGTCTCTTTGTTTCTCCTCTCTACCATATCATTACCTAACATCATCCACAATACCAACAGAACTCTTTCTCTAGGCTAATGTTCTGTATATCTAGCTTTTTATTTCCCTCTTAACTCCTTTATCCAAATAGAAATGTGAGTCTGCCTGACATGTACTAGAGGATGCAGAGACACCAACTAATAGTGCTTTCACTGATAGATCTCTATCTTACTTCCCCCTTAGCAGTGTTTCCACCTCCTCTTTCAAACTCCTCTTTCAGGCTCATAACCTGGTTATCTTATTTGCCTGCTTCAACCCAATCACTATTTCTATGCTTAAATCATACAGATCTCTTGTCTTCCCATTAACCAGGATAATCTGTGAAAAAATGTCTAAATCATGACAGCAAAAATTTCACCTTTAAAAGCTTTAAGAGACAGCAAGACCAATTCCATGTCAAACTAGCATTTTATGGATAGCCAGTATCAAGAAAGCGAGGGATGCAGTACTGACACACATACTAAGCTCAGTGGGCAAAACTAGGATTATATTATTCATTATCAGGAAATAAAGCAACAGCCATATTAAAAGGCTTCAGACAGGGAATTACAGCTGAGTCTCTAGAGCTGCAAAAGCACATGTCAGGAGTGCAGCATCCTAGCAGTATATACAAGAGCTACAGCTCTGCTAATTGTCTAACTTAAAGACGCATTTTCATATCACGTCCAAACATGGCTTGTATTGAAATCCTATAATCATAATAATGCTGAGCTTTTCAAACTCTTTTACAACTTAAAAGCATCTCCTCCCTGTAATAGCCTGATCCACAGCTCATTTAAACTACTCAAACCTTCTCTACTGGTTCTGACATACTACAAATCATGGTCTGAACAGCACAAAGTAGAAAGAAACAATAGTGTGTTTTTGACATGATTTAAGTTAGAAAAAATAAATAAATTTCAGATTATAGCATAATTATGTTATATAGATTAATAAAATTATATTGTTAATTATATTATCAATATTACTATTACCTTTGTATTATTATATATTATTTTATAGTATAATATACCTTTCATTGGAATTTGGTTTGACACAAATCTTTCTTGGACAAACAATTTTCCAATATTAAAAAAATCTGAATTCCACAGCTATTTTGACAGGACCTGTATAGTATTTTATATAAGTTTGCATTTTTATCCTACAAGTTGAGTACTAATTTGGGATTCACCAACCTTTTCCACATGTTAAACTAGTCAAAAGGCACTGTTTCAAAATAATGTTCTAAAGAACAGAAGAATTGGAAACCTTTTAAGAAAGCAGTGAAATATAAATTACAACGAATTTATTTCTTTTAAATTTTCTTCTCCTGTTGACAGGCTGCCAAGTAACCAGTTACTTTAGTTCTGGAGAAGTAAACAACTGGAAGAATAAATTGCAATATGGAGATATTCCAAATCATACACTCCCTGACAAGTGGGCTGCAAACAATCAAGAGAAATTTCTTCCACAGAAATTGTTTCACCATTCAGGGATCATGTGGGATGCTAAATGGGATTTGCATTGTGTTATTCTCCACCACACACAGAGAAGTCATATCACGCTTTTTTTTATATATAACTCTTTTATTTATGTGAAGCTTGCAAATGTTGGCAATCAGCAACTCTTTATATACAGAAAACAGACAAAGTGCAGGCTTGGTAAAAAATAAGAGTAATGATAGCAAGGACATGTTTGTAACTTATGGTCTATTTTGTGGCTTTTTCTTAGATTGACACCACCTGGGGTTGGAA